TTCTGCTACTGGCGTGGAATAGTCTAGTCCAGATTTGAAGAGTCGATTTGTTCGTTTTTAAAGCAGAACAGATGATTTCTTAGCACTTACATGTTAGGTATAATTTACATGATTATTATTATTATTCACCGAATTTAACTTGATTGTACATAATTACAAAAAGGTGACGTGAAAAATAATTAAGTGCAAAGAATGATTTCTTTCGGAGAGAGGAAGTCTTTTATTTTGAAGAATACTCAACAGGATCTAGTTTCATCTTTTGCTACTAACTTGCCTTCTGTTGATTTCGGTTGCTTGGTTACGAATAGCCGTTTGCCGTTATTCAGCTATTGTATTGTCCAATAAAAATCTGAGCAGAAAATGTTAAGCGAATCCATCTGAGCCTCTAATCTCCCTTTAGCCATTTCCTGAATCAGAAGCTACAATCGGCAGCCAACTTCCGCTCCGATCCAGACGCTCGGGTAGAAACGCCGCCACAGCTGGAGGACCGGACTGACGTTTCCTTCTCTGCAGTCCTGTTGTGTTTGGGATCCTGCAGGCTATTAATGGTTCCAACCACAGAGCAAAGCAGCATCCGTATCTCCATGTTTCAGACCAAACATGAAGGCAAACCTGACCAATTCCTGTTAGCCACTGTACTAGCCTAGCATAATACCGCCACTTCCTGGACATAAAATTGTCACATTATAATGTGATGGTGCTTGAAAAAGGGTTTCCTGCGTGATATCAATGCTTCCGAACTGAAGCTCTGCCTCCAGGACCTTTTAACTTTTTTTTTTATCAGCGTTGCTCTGAGCAGCAGCTCCTATAATGAGCTCAAATTTCTCATTTCTGCTGGTTAGTCTGAAGGAGCTGCATGGGGGAGGAGCTGCACCTCGAAGGCGGGGCCAGGGCCACCCAGGCGTTTTAGCATGTGTTAGCATCGTGTGCGTATCGCTTTTCAAACATGCATAAAAAAATCTAAGCCACATTCCAGGTTGTTTCTGAGGGAAAAACATTAAAGCATGAAAAAGTCGATACCGCTCCTTTAAAATATAGATTTTCTGATTTAAAAAAAAAAAAAAGGTTTATTTGCATAAAATGGTTGAAGGAAAAATCTGCAGAAAGTGTTGTGGAGTGGAGTGACCTGAAGGTTCTGACCCAAACCTCCGTGTCTCCCTGCAGGACCTGGAGCTGCTGTCCCAGGAATTAGTCCGGCTCAGTAAAGAGGGCGGTCTGGGTGTTGGCGGCGCTGCCGGTTCTGGATGAGACTATAATCTGGATCCATCCTGCTTGCTTCCTTCCTCCTCACTCGCTGCATTCACAACCTGCTGGGGTCTGTCTACATTCTGGAGCCAGAGTGGGCTCTGGGCTAGGACTAAGTGCTGGTTCATGTCCATCTGGACCAGAAGGTCTCAGGGACGGAGGACGAGGAGCTCTGAAGACACTTGGTCTCATTTCATTTGTCTTTGTTGAATGTACTGTAATTAGACTGCACCGCTCACCTCTCTGGGCCCTGGCTATGACCTGGAGAACTCTGTTTATCTTGCAGCATGCTGAGCCCTGACCTCACCAATTCCTGTCTGGGATCTGACTATGACCTGGATTCTGTCTGAAACAGTCACCATGACAACTGAGCACAGACTAACAGCCAATCAGTGAGCTTGCTTTCCGGTTGCTATGGTTACCGTTTTGGTTTCGCTCACTGGAAACACAACGCTGAACTTTACTACAAAATGTTCTGAAGACGGAACCAAAGATTCTATCGGATCCGCCCGTCACTACAGACCAACTGGGCCGCTTTCTGCCACCAGGTGGCACCAGAACCTTCAGCCAGCAGGAGGTCTGACTGGTTCTGGTTCTGAGCGGTTCCGTCTGCTACAATAAACAGAACCACACAGTCCAGATGTTCCTGACCGGGTCACAAAGTATTTGAGTTAAGGTCGGTTCTGGACGTGTTCCAGAATGAGACCAGATTCTGCAGAAGAAAAACAGAACCATCCGATTGGTTCTGACCTGACCCAGTAGACGGTGAACCTATTCTGGTCCAGGCGGGTTCTGGGTTCTGTTAAACCGGAACCAATCCTGTCCTGAATAGATCAATTCCTATGTTTGGACCTTCAGAACCAGCCTGATGAGCCTGTTGGTGGAAAACAAAAGGTTCTGTTGACTTTCACACAGAACCAGCTGATGTTCTGACCCAGAGTAGAACGGACCAGCAGGTCGGAGTTCTGCTGTCTGCCAGGTTCTGTAGTGCCTCTGGTCCAGAACCAGACCGGCCTCAAGTAATCACTAACACTCCAAGGGTTAGACTACTTCCTGGATTCCCTCCAGGACAGAACCAAAGTTCTGCAGCTGGTTCTGGTTTCAGCTCTCTTCTGGACACTGTCTACTTCCTGGATTGCCTGAAAATATTTCCTCTACTGTTTTATGTGCGGAGTCCGGATCAGTCTACTTCCTGCGGAATTTAAATTTCCATTATAAGTTCGAACTTATGACTTACTGACCATTGGGCTCTGACTACTTCCTGGACTCTGCTTTAGACTGACATCTCGGCCCGTTCTGGGCGGAACCGGCTTTGTTTTTCGTGCAGCTTCAGGAAGTTTGAATTTTATCATCTGAATCATCTAATCTGAACAGGTTTTGTGTGCCGTTTGGATCAGAACCGTGTTTGTACCGTCTGGTCTGGTCCTGTAAATAATCGCTGTGATTTAAAGAATAAACTATTTATGTCTGATCATCATGACGCTAATTAATGTATCCATGAAGAGAAATAAAATCCTGTCTGGAACCAGCGCCGGTTTCAGGAGTTATTTCTTGACCACAGGTCGCCTTAACAGAATATTTTCCGTATTTTACTGGTTGTTTTTCTAAACGATGGGAAAATTCAAAGCCCATCTGTCATTTGACAGGTTATAATTCACACCCCAGGCATTAGACTTAACCCAAAGAGTTCATCACAGAGGCACCGAAAACCAATCAGTGAAATAATCCTTTCTGAAAATCACCTCCTGGACTCTGAACTAACTGCGTCTCTCTGACCGGAGCTGACGGCCTGTTGAAGAGTTACGGACCG